CTTACCAACCCATGGCCTCTGTTATGAGTGAAGATGCTACACTGCAGAGGGGCTCCGACCTGAGAATCTTCAGTCGATTGTTTTACATTCAGAGTGAGGTTACCATTTTGTGTGGATTCCAACAGAATGAGTCGGCCTTCTCAACACCCGACAACAGAGTCTTCTTATACTTCGGCGACAGCAGTACAGCGCCACCTAGGAGCGGAAAATGATCATCGTCTTAGCGGAGCGACGCAGATGATCCCATTGTACATTACCCCAAGCTCCGTCAACATGCAACCACAGTCCGAACTTATCGCAAACTGATCTGAGTGCTTCAACATCATCGAAGGCCCCTGCCGAAAGTAGATCGTAGAAATGCTAGAGGCCTTTGAACCCACGCAGAGTCCTCACCCATAACAGTAGTTCCTGCAGTGGCTCCAACAAAGAAAGGCTTCTTGCCCGCCTTCAGATCCTCGGCCACTCGCTTCTCGAGGATATCAGCCCTCATGCGGCCCCGGGAGTCCGTAGGTATCTATTACGACCCGTTTATAAAGAAAATCGAGGGAAGACACCCATGCAATTCCAAAGGCAACAACTTCGTCAGAATAACAAACAAGTGAGAGAAAGAAAACATAGGCTCGCTACAACTGCACGATTAGCAATCCGATGAAGTCTCGGATGAATTTTATGTCCATCCTCCCTCACTACCTTCACCATATTATTAGATCCCAGCCCTGCAACTAGAGCAGCCTTCGTATACGAATAGTGCGCCTCTTCCGAACAGTACCTTAGACACTATCCATCGAGACTCTATATGGCACTTATCGTCGTACGCAACAGGCTGGCCTCCGATGGCAAAGATGCCCTCAGTCTTCACCTGGGGGAATTTATAGTACCGAGCAGTCTGCAATGCATAGAGGTTGGATATCGATCCTCCAGGAACGGTGAGGCCTGTGATGACCAATACGATCAAATCATTGAGAACGGACAACCCTCACCTTCGGCGGTGTCTCTGCTGAATCCAACCAAATCAAAGGTCTTATTCATGAGCTCTTGTTCGATGAGTAGGAATACTGGAGCAACCTCATAGGTATATGCCGAGCCGTTGGTGGCTGCAACCAGTGCTTCACCAGCAATACCTGATTCGAAAGCAGTAGAGGCTCCTCTAGTAGGAGTTATCCATATCGGTGAATTCTAATTACAAAATGGGAACCCGCGCAGCGACTCTGATTGAGAGAGCCGGAGGGTCACAAGCAAACCGCTTGAAAACGAAGACCAATATTCACTATATACGCGGAAAAGCTCGAACCGAGAATTGAACCGACACTCTTTCGGATGAGAAGTCGAGTACTACCAGTCACATCGGCTCGACCAATAAGTTGATTGAAGAAATGCGGATGGCCTGTCCTCACTGATAGTGCCAACGTAGCCTCGCAGGCATTGAGAATCGCCTCTTCCCCAACAGGTTGACCTGATCCGACAGAACTCAGCGATGGTGCAATCCTTTCACAAAAACTCATCACCGTCGTTGAGGGAGAGGTCACAGGCCTTCTCCGAGAAAATCTTTGATATCTCTTCTGGGCTCTTGAACTGAACAACCTTCTGACTGCGATCATCGAGGGACTCCACATAGCCTAGCCGAGATTCACACCCGATACCTTCACAACTGTTGAATACTACTTTCTAGCATGTGGTTTACTTTGCTGAGGATTCTCAGGTCGCTAGG